CATCGATTGACCCCGACCAACGTACCGGGGTTTCGGCGGGTCGGGCGGCGAGTCACCTTGTGACTCGAAGGCTTGGGCCCTGCGAGGGTGGTGTCGGCGCTATGGAGGTGGACGGGCCGTCGGCCCCCTCGCCGTCTCCTCCGTCGCCATCGCCAGTCCTCCCCGTGCCGACTGTTGAGCGCGCCTCAACATCATCGGAGACGTGCCCACCAGCAAGGCGCGAGGATGCACGCGCGGAAAGGTCGGTGCCGGTGAGTACGCCGGCTAGAGTAGGCGCCTAATCCGGAGGTTAGGCTTACGAGGGGAGTCTTTCTCTGCGGGTTGGCCTCGGTGCTGTGGGACGATCAACTAGATCTCCCACCGTACCGGTGCTTCAATTGTCGGACGGGCTCCCACCGCAGGGCTGACTGCACGAGGCCGCCACTCAGACGCGACTTCTATCGGAATTGTGGCCGTTTGGACACGATTGTCGATAGCTGTCCGCGTTGTAGCCAGGCGTACTCACGGGAGCAAGCGCGGCTGCAAGCGATTCGGGACGCCCCGGCCTCGGTCTCGAGTGAGCCGCCGGCGAGTGTAGTGTCTGTCCCACAAGACAGGCCCACGCCACAGCAGGCTTCTCGAGAACCGGAGCCCTAAGTTTCGGTTCCATCGACAGTCGCGACAGTCACCTCTGGAGTGACTCGGAAGAAACGCCATCGCTCGGGAAAAGCGTACTGCGAAAGACTGGCACGTAAAAGCGCTCGGCAGCAGGCGAGCGGCGCTGAATCTCGGTCGCCCGACGGATCGAGTTCGCTCTCGACGGAAGTTGCCCCGATGGAAACATAGGAGGCGACACCTCCGATAGTAACTGTCGCGAGCGGTCAACGGCACAATGGTGCTGGCTCCCTTACTCCCGTGGCGGAGGAATTGAGAGCCCTCCGCCTCAAGTATTTGGAGAGGAGAGACTAGTCTCCGAATAAAAGGTATGGTTTTCTTCAGCTGTGATTTCGTGTGCGCGGCGTCCTGATGTGCCGTTGATTTGATCGGGTTTAGTAATAATTAAAACGTATATTTACGTTTTTTTTTGAGTTTATCTTTAGAGTAGTTGTTTAAGTCACGCATTGCTCTTGTATTTAATGTTGTATATTTAGTTTACATAAATCGGTTACCGACTAGAATCTTCGTTAAAAATCAAGGAACCTAGATTAAGCTAGTTTAAGTACTATAAGTTTACCTATAAGTTATTTTGGTTTGTAGCGTTTGATCAAGTCGTGAGCCATTTGCCGGAAAGAGAGAGAAAGCTTAAAGAGAGGTAAGGCCTTGTCTCCAAGGGAGAGCTTCGGCCTTCGGAGGGGCTGTGACGGTGTAGGCTGGTCATGGCCTGCACCGTGTGCTTGCTTCCCTCTCCATCCTAGGCAAAGGCGTACGGCTGGCATCGGACGCACGTTATTTTACGTGTCTGATGCCTGCCTTTATATTTTTCAGTATTGTAGCTAGAAAAAGAGAGAGAAGGCAGCGAGCAAGCGAAATGGGAAGGAAACATCAAGAGTAAGAGAAAGAGAGAGAGAGAGATTTGATTGAATGATTGATTGATTAATCTTTATTAAACCATGGGGTAGGACCCCGTGTGGTTGGAAGAAATACACAGTTGACAATATATAATAGTGATTGTGACAATAGCAGTATTGTAAGCGTACAAACGGCATGTTTTAGCAAGCGGATTGTTGCAAGACAGCAGTCGAATCTACTTGATACATAGAAGTGCAAGGCAGCGCAAATGTACATGTAGAGACTAAGCTAATTATATAATCTAAGAATACAATTAAGAGAACCTCAGAGATGTGCGCACGAGCTTAATATATAAACTTAATTAACGCAGTGGGAGGGGGCATATTTACAGTTTAGAGTGGAGGGAGAGATTAGGTTCATCATTCAGGAATCGATAACGCAAATATCTGCCGCCCACCAGTAGATATGAAGGATTAGGAGCGAACGCAGAGACGTTGTACGGGCGTGAAATATGGGGAAGGTAAGCGAGGGAGGCTGTACCTGTCATTTGCTCCTGTGCAACCCGGATAGCGAATCTGTCAATTTCAAGGAGGAAAAGAAGATCAAATAACCAGTATTTGAATTCAGTGAGTCGTACCAAGGAAAAAGTGGTCACTGCAAGTTGGTTTAGGAGATCCATACCTCTAATTGCGAATGATCTCTTCCAGGACTCAGTGCGTGGAGCACGAAAGTGGAAGGCCGCGGGTATATTGCAAATAGAGCGGCGGGCGATAGTAAGTTGGTTCAGTAGTGATATGTGGCCAGTCAGATACGACAGGCCATTGTTACAAACGACCTTATAAAATAGTTTTGCGAGGGCTAGTTGACGTGTCGATGAGAGTGTGAGCCAACGTAGTTTCAGACGGTGGAACGTAACATGAGAGGTGAGGTTATTATTTGGTAGCAATGGGATGTTACCAGAGACGAATCGAACACAAGCATTTTGCGCCACCTGGAGGTCACGAGTACGTGTCTTGTCAAGATCCATGAAGACGGTGGACGAGAAGTTTAGCAGTGGGAGTACCAGTGACTCAACCAAAGTCTTGCGGAGAGCGAGCGACAAAGAACGGCGATAGAACTTAAGAGAGCTGAGAGAGCCGTAAACCTTCCTCACTACGTCTGAAGTATGTGACTTCCATTGGAGCGTAGGAGAGAGGGTGACCCCAAGGCTCCTTGCCGCCATCACGAAGGGGATCTTATGTCCGTTGACGGTGATGCAAGGCAAAGTGGTGAGGTCAAGGGCAGTCACATACAATTCGCTGCCCAAGATCATAGCCTTCGTTTTGGCAAGGTTGAGATCAAGGCCATTGCCCAAGGCCCAATCAGCCACCGCTTGTGCATCTCGCTGGGCCTCCACGATGCCACGCTCAATGTCCTGCGGGGAACAATGCACATATATTTGCGTGTCATCCGCATAGATGATATACTTGGCAGATGACAAGACCATCGGAAGGTCGTTGATGTAGATGGCAAAGAGGAGAGGGCCAAGGACACTCCCCCGCGGGACACCGGTGGAAGCGCGGAGCCACTCAGAGACAACGCCTCCCTCATCTACCACCGCCTGAACGCGATCCGCCAAATAGTTAAAAAACCATTTGAGGGCTTTGTCGGAGAGGTTTATATTGCGCAGTTTGGTGATCAGTCGCAAGTGGCAGATGCGATCAAAGGCTTTTGAGAAGTCAAAAAGCACAAGGATGGTGAGAAGCCTATTTTCGGTAGCAAACCGAACATCGTCGAGAAGACCAAGGAGCGCGGTCTCGGTAGAATGTCCCCTTCTAAATCCGGCTTGGCGGGAGTCGAGCAGGTGATGCTGCTGAAGGTAGGCTGACAATTGACGATGGACGAGGCGCTCGAAGAGCTTCGAGGGCTCACATAGCTTAGCAATAGGTCGTGTGTCCGAAAGGGAGGTAGGAGACTTCACTTTGGAGAGCGGGACAATTTGCGTGCGCTTCCAGAGCGTAGGGAAAAGTGAGTTGGCAATTGAGTGATTAAAAAGCATGGTGTAGTACGGAAGGATAGTTTGCGAAACCATCGACAGCATTCTCAGCGAGATCCCGTCCTCTCCTTTTGACTTTGAGTGGGCATCCGCGAGAACATCCTCCACGTCCTTGACTGACACCGGGTTTAGATTGAATTGGGGAAATGAGAATGAGCGAGAGAATGATATCGATGTGAGATTGTCGTAGCAGGAAAGAGTAATAGGCGGAAGCTGGTTAACGATTTTGGCGAAGTGACAGTTTAACGCTGTGGGTGAGAAAAATCATAGTGGAGACGGCATGGATTTTTGTGCAATGCCGAGACAGCGAAGCTCTCTCCATTTGGTCTTGGGATCTGTGGCAGATGCAAGTTTGGCCGAGATGTGGTTATTTTTTGCAGTGTCAAGCTGGTTTGAAACACGGTTTCGAAGGTCTTTGTACCTCCGAATGTCACCTGGAAGCGCAGTTATTTTTGATCGCTTGTACGCCGCCGTGCGAGCACGCATGAGGATGCGAATGTCAGCTGATACCCACGGCTTAGCCTTGGCAGACAGTTTTGTCTGGCGAACCGGGGCAAGGGTGTCGAAGGCTTTCAGCACGGCGTTTGAGAGGAAGCGTTCGAGTGAATCCAGGGACATTTGAGTTGGGTCAGTAAGAGTAGTTTGCGGTGATGGATACTGTACGGCAACGCCCTCGGCAACCAGTAAATTTAGCTGTACTGTGTCAACACTTTTCAGTTTGCGAATGAGGATGGTTTTCGTGGCTGAGGGGGGAACCGTGGCATAGATAGAAAGCTCGATAAGGTCGTGACAGTCAATAAATGGGGCCGGCGTTTTTGAAAAGGAGTGGATATCTGTGTCATTTTTAATTAAGAAGAGGTCCAGAAGAGTGTGAGAAGCATGACCATCCTGGAATCGATGACAAGTAGGCAGCATGGAGACGACTTTTAAGGCGTAGCGCTCGATTTGTTCTCGAAGCATGTTGACGTAGTGTAGTGTGTGCGATAAGAGATTGCAGTTGAAATCCCCACAAATTATCACGTCATGATAATTTGGGAGAAGAGGGACAATGGTATGGAAAAAATTCAGTGGAGCCAACGCAGACGGGCGACGATAGACTACAGCATGTAGAAGTTTTGCATGTTGTTGTCGTAATTCCACCACCAAAAATTCTGAAGCATTGTAGTCATCAGGATGCGATTTGGCAATTATGCGAACGAAGAAGCTGTCACGAATGTAGAGAGCAACACCACCACCTTCCATGGCTGAGCGATCATGTCGAAATAGGTTGAATCCAGAGAGAGAGAGGTGAGAGTCAGCCACAGTATCCTTTAGGAACGTTTCTGTGATGGCAACAGCGTCATAGTGTGAGTGGGATACTCTGTCCTCAAGAAGGGCGAAATAGCCGCCGTGGTTCAGGCGGTTCACATTTGCATGTGCTACACAGAAAATGGGAGGGGGGGGGGGCAACAATTGGGGGCTGTATTGACCCTGAGGGTCAATCAATGGTAGGTGGATTTCCCATAGTGCATTCAGTGGGAAGGGATGCATCATCTGCGATGTGGGAAGGTTGACGGTAGCTCGTCCCACTTGAGAGTGAAGGCTCCGCCGTATCCATTGCCAGTGAAGACATTCGAGGGGCAGCATCGGGACTGATGCTCGGATGATTTAGAAGTGGGGGTTGGCCAGTGTGAGAATTGGAGGATGCTATAACAGCGGATAAGGGATGAGCAGGCAGAACAGGGAGCAGATGCGGACCAGAGTTTTGTGCCGTTTTCCGGCCACGGTTTTTCTGCAAGCATTTTTGTTGGTGCGTGGCTTGCAGGTGCGGTAGCTGGGGCTGTTGGAGTGGCTGATGCTGGAGTTGGGCATGGAACGTTTGGGGCTGGTGATATTGTTGCTGCAGGGACGGGGGTTGTTGATGAAGCTGTTGAGACAATTGAGGTGGCGGATGCTGTAGTAGCTGCTGACTATGCAGAGGTTCCTGTTGTTGCTGCCGTTGAGGTGGTTGCTGCTGCTGTTGCTGTGGTTGCTGCTGCTGTTGCTGTGGTGGTTGTTGCGCTTGTTGGTATTGTAGTAGTGAAGGTAACTGATGCGGGTATTGATGCTGATTACTTTGTGGTTGCTGCAGTCGCTGGGACTTTCGTGGAATGAATGGTCGAGAGCCACGAGTAGGGGTAATAGCGTTGAGTGAGAGGTTTGCTGAGCGATTTTGATTTTGATTGGGGGGGAGACGGTGTAGATCCTCCTCGCAGAGAATCGGCAAAAGCTCAGAATTAAATGTCGGTCGCACGAAGATACGCAGATTGCGGACTACAGGACGGAGATAGAGATGTGCAGGCAGCTCTAGCTTTTGTGAGGAGATCGTAGATGACTTTGGGGTAGACTGGGCGCACGTAGACAGGGGTGCTTCCACCGCACCCAAAAATGGATATGGCGGTGAGCTCACGAATACGAGCTGTTGCAGCGATAACGCGATCGCGAGAGGAGGTTGATGAGAGGTAGAATGAGAAAGTGATAAAAGGGTGGCTTGGGTGAGAGGACTCTGCGGGGGCGTCAACATTTTGTTGCGCATTTTGGTAGCGGTTTGGCTGATACCATTCTCGGGTGGCCTCGATAGCAGGCATGTCATGGCCGTGGCCAAAACCAAGGGCGCTTAATATGTAGCGAGCGGCATCATACAGCGAGCCATTAAACTGCGAGGGGAGCCCGCGAACCATAACCTCTGGGGTATCAATGTGTGCAGCAAGTTTATTGTTGATATCATTTTGTTTGACGGAATGCTGGAGAGTGGAGCTGATAGAGTTGATATCGCTTCTGAGGTCTTGGAATTCCTCGAGGAAGCCAACAAACCAAGTAGGTGGTTTATCAGACATGATTGGCTTAGATGTAGGCTCTACCTGTATAGTCTGGTGAGAGGCAGTAGAGGAATTCTCCAACGATGCAGGCGAGGATCTGTCTACAGTTGTTGAATTGCGGCGTAACAATGGAGGACCCAGGCAATGGAGTTTCAGTGCGTGTAAGCTAGACAGAGTGGGCGAGGCGAGCCGCTTCTTGGAGAGATAAGGTAAGAGGGACGCGCCAGTGGCCAGTGGACCTACTGGTGAAGACTGGGGAAGAGCCTCGACAACAGACGCCAACGACGAGTCGCTGCTACTTGTATGTTGATGACTCTTGCAGATGAATGGTTCAGATCCCCTGGGACGCAGTGACGGCGATACACAGTTGATATGACATTCAGTGCATAAAAGAGTATTGTCGATACGGCGCAGGGAAAACAGGCATTTAGCGCATTGACTGGACATAGAACCAGGCCGGTGTAGACAGACAGGGGAAAGCTACTTGAGCGAGAGATGCTGGCAGAGGCAACAGTTGATTGTCCGAACGTAGAGAGTTTGACGAATTTCGAAATTCGCGGGTGATTGCGTGCCAAGCAGACTCTAGCCAGCAACTTTTCCCAGCTGAGCAGGTATACAAACGTACAGGCAAAATGTAAACATAAACACAGTATATGGAAACTCAGCAATACTTATAAGAACGTATTATATGAAATGCACGATAACGCAAGGGAATACAATAATGCAAATTTATGCAACGCATATAAGGATGCAGATAGGCATGCACGAGATTTGTGTATTTTCTCTCTCTCTCACCAACATGCAGGTAGAATGCAGTCGAGAACAGCTACGGCAGGTTGGAGCAAAGTCGAGTGTGTTCAATGAGTGCAGCAGCAACGATATGCAGCTAATGCAGTGGACGCAGATGAGAGCGTAGTGTGTAGTAGCACAGATGAAGCCGTAGTGTGTAGAAGCGTAGGTGTGCAGAAGCGTGTGTGTGTAAGGCGTTGTTGCTTAAGTTTGTAGGTTATGTTGTGTAGCCGGGTATTTAATCGCCTCCGCGGCTCGAAAAAGGCAATAAAAATTGCGATTTATTGCCCAGGCATGAGAGCCGCAGTTGGCGAATACCCTGCAAAGTGAGTTTTCACAGAGAGAGAGAGAGAGAGAGAGAGAGAAAATATATGTAGTTCGGTGAGGCTCGGCGCGCGGCACTTGTCGCGCTGGGCAGTTCCGCACTGGGAAGGATTGCCATCTTTTCTTTGCCTCGAACTCGATAGAGAGTGTGAGAGCCGTGACAACGAGAGCTGGGCCACGTCTTGCGTTAGCCACCTCACCTGAAGCCCACCTACCAAGCAGCCATCACTCTTTGGTCAGGTTTAGTTGTCTCTCCTCTCGTTTCTCTCTCTCTATTTTCCTCGGCATTGTCTCGCGGTTTGTGTGCGGCGCCAGGCTTTCACGAGCCGGCGCGACGTATCTTCGTCACTTAGTTTAGTTTGAGCCGGTTAATGAGATGACATGGCGCTAATGTGCCGGTCATCTCATTTAGTGTAAGTTTTGCGTATTCTTAGTGATAAGTAGTTTTGTATTCTCGTCGGCACTCAGGGAAGTGCAAGTGTAATAAAGGTTCAATTAACGAAGTTGAGTGTGTGAAATCATTGAGTCTACACCTTCCCTTTTCTGCTTTGCTAGGAGCAACACACCGCCTCCCTTACCCTCCCCTTAAATAATTCGGTAATAGCAGCGAAATTGTTGGCATTGAAGGCCTACGCTATTACAATTCTACCGTAGGTGAAGGTTTCCCTTTTTTAATTCCATTATTTGCCACTTTGAGTGCCACTGGATCTCTACCTGGAGGAGCTGCTTCAATAGCAAATGCCGTAAACAGTGCTAAGGCTGCTCAAAATTAATTGAAATAGGCTCATAAACACAATAAAACTATGGAAGATATTGCTATTGGTAGAAGACTTTACTTGAAACCGCATCGTAAAGGTCATGGCCTTCATCTGAAACAATATTCAAGTGAAAAAGGTTTAAAAAAAGCTCGAAGTGATTTTACCTAATCGAGCACTAACAGATGATGATATAAAACAATATGCTAAAATACTAAAAATTGCAAATTTTGGATAGTTTATCTATATCGATGGACCACGATATAAAGAGTCAGCTGTTGTAAATTTAGATGATAAACGTGGACCAGGTACTCATTGGGTGGCACTATTCTCAAAGTCAACGATTTACGTGTAGAGTGTAATATTACTACAGGCTCTTACAAAAACGATCGCAAAGTACATACTATATATGAATTTTCCCAACAGTCACACCTGGATATAAGATTATAGAAGTTCCCTCTCAAGTCATTTACCTTCCAGTCGCTGTGAGGAGCATTGATCATTTTCAAATTTGTATAGTAGATCAAGACGGAAACCTAGTTAATTTTCGAGGAGAAGTCATCACAGTGCGAGTACATATAAAGACCATATCTTAGTAATGGGTATCATTTACAATATAAAGACCAGTCGAGGCTATATTAAGAGATAAAAATGTCAATCAAAAACCATTCAACAGCAAGCTATCAGACCGCTCACACCTCAGAACAGTGGATTCCTGAAAAAATTGAGACTGAAAGTCGTCGAAAATCGTGGAAGAAAATATTGTGCATATTATTGTGCTGTATAAAACAACAACAACAATATAGAGGGAATTCTAGACATTCATTCAGGTATCGCTTTCTATGAGTCTATAGCTCATTATGAAGTTCATGCGCATCAGCCTTATTCATTATCATATTTCAATAATAGCGATGAAATTCATACAGCAATTGAACATCAAGATTTATCTCTGCTTCCATCACGCAGTATGATTCATATTTGTGGTCGGTTGACCTAGCCGGACGGTACTACGCCAGTGGAGAACACTTGATTAGTCAACAACGCCCTCTGTCATTTGTTCGAGGAAATACGATATGAAATAAATGCTATTGAAATTGATAAAGTTACAAATGTAAGCTTAACGAGCCTCGTGAAAAATTGGCTTGCACTCAATCCATGTCAAAGCTCTATCGTTGAAAATACCGAATGGAATGGTGATAAGAATGAAGTTTTAATATGTAATGCTCTAGGTATTTTTGATGTGACTATCCTTATCAGTATTTTTGCTGGGCTTTGCTGAAGATTATCGGAAAATTGTAGTCAATGTCAAGCATGAATTTATTCTCACAAGATCAAAAGATGATTTGAATGCTATTTTAAGTATTCCAGTAAGGAATACTGATGCTTCAGAAAAATCAAAAATTACTTTAACTAAGGTAGAATGGTCGATACCATATGTGATGGTTGAAGACAAAGAAAAAATCAAATTACTCAATCAGATTGGACGAGATCGTGCAATGACAATGAGTTATCGTACTTGGAAAATGTATGAGTATCCAAAATTACCTCGTACATCAAAGCATGTTTGGAGTGTTAACACGTCCAATCAATTAAAAAAGCCTCGCTTTGTTATTTTAGCTTTTCAAACTAAACGTAAAAGTTCAGCGAGTATTAATTCTAGTAATTTTGATCAGTGTAATATTAGTAATGAGAAGCTATTCCTCAATTCACAATGCTATCCGTATGGAAATCTCAATTTAACTATCAATCAAAATTAGTTTGCTGTTCTCTACGATATATATACCAATTTTCAAAACGCTTACTATGGTAAAGAAAACTACCCGTTACTTAATAAAAAGGATTTTATTAATAAAGTACCGTTAATAGTTATATACTGCTCCAAACAAAATGAAAGATTAAAAAGCGCCCCGGTCGATGTTCGCCTAGAATTTGAAACTCGGACCGATTTTCCTGAAGATACTGCAGCCTACTGCTTAATATTACACGATCGTATTGTACAATATAATCCAATTAGTGGTGATGTTAAAAAATTAGTTTACAATTAACAAGACATCAATGTACACGATACTTTTCAATATAAAAAGAAAATAAAAAATATATATATATTGTTAGAATTTAATACAAACTATCTATAATCATAGAGAGAGAGAGAGAGGGAGAGAGAGAAGCATGCACACTAAACGGCGAACGCACCTAGCAAGCTAGAGACGCTACCCCATCTCCGAGGGCCCAAACTTAGCCAGCATAAGCTTACTATGCTCCCTACTATAGAAGGAGAATGAGAGAAACCATCATATAGCTTACTATTTAATAAGTTGCTGTAGAAGTTGTTAGGGTATTTTACCCTAACAACTTCTACAGCATCCTACCTTACCAACCTCTGTAGGTGAATGTTGGTGGGTAACCCTTGAACTATTTAACCTGTCACGCTGTAACCAGTAACTCCTACACCCAAATTTCATCAACCATCGAGCTGGTTAAGCCGTTACGCTGTAAGCCCAAATTTTTAACACCATTTTCTTCAACCCTCGAGCTGGTTAACCTGCCACACCCTAACCCGTAACTCCTACACCCTAAATTTTTCGTCAAAAATGTTCAATTTTTTATAACTTTTGATATAATTATTTTAATGATCTAATAATGCATACTTAAATACATAACCATATAGGCAACATGTAGACCAATTTTCAAGATAATCCGAAACCTACCCCTCAAAAGTTGATCGTCATAGTCTGGAATGTGCCATTTATCTTTCGTATTTTTCTTACTCGGTGTAACAAGTTTTATGGGTTCTGCTGTATCTATAATTTGAATTTTCTTATCCTAGTATGTAAATTGTCTATTGATTTAAGTTCATTAGATAGTTTATTAAATAGTGTACTAGCACTAATAAAACTGTTTTTTATACTGATTTGTCTCAATCTTCCTGGTACTTGTAAGTTGTTGTTTCTTATTTTCTTCTTTATATTATTGTATGTTATAAAAAGTTCATCATAATGATACAGTAGTGATTCTAATGAGAAAGTTTTCCCTATGTCAAGAGGTTTTTTCTCAATGATGAATTTATTTTTATTAACTATTTTAAGTAATCTATTTTGTAAGTTTTGTAGTCCTTTAATTCTGAATAAGTGCCTCCCTATACAATAATTCCGTAAAATATAATGCTGTGAGCTAGAGCGTAATAGTTCATCTTGAGCACTTCCTTGCTCATTTTTCTTGATAATTTTTAAAAAACAAAAGTTAATTACTTGGTTCTTTTGTATAAATTTTGTAAGTGTTGATCCCATCTCATATTGCTATCAAAAGTTACACCTAGGTACTTTATGTATTCTTCTCTGTGAATTGTTTTACCTTGTATAGAAATATTCAAGTATTTGTGTGTGCTATTATAGTTATTTCTAAATTGAAGATAGGCTGTTTTGTCAATGTTTAATGATAGTCTATTTAAAGCTAACCAGTCACTTACTTTTTGAAGTTCATTATTCATATTTCTTTCAACTTTTATCCAACTCCTACCAGATGCGATAACTGCTGTATCACCTGCAAAAGATAGGATTGAATTTTCTGACATATTCGAAA